CAAAGCTCTTTGAAGAACAAGTTGAGACACTTTGTTGCTACTTTTTAGTTTTTATGTATTTTATTTTGGGAACAGGGTTTCACTATATATTTCAGGCTGGTCTTGAACTCACTGCGTTACCCATGCTGGCCTCTAAACTCATGGTGATCCTCCTGCCTCAGCTTCCTGAGTTCTGAGATTACAGGCATGCAGCACTTGAACCTACATGCGTTGCTCTGTAATATGAATATAATGCCTTCTTGGATGGTTTATCTGTGAGAATCAGAATTTCATGCAGTGGCGCCTGTGAAACAATGTCCTTGACTCATCTGGATCGCACTGAATGTTTGCGTTGGTCAGCACGGTCTTTCAAGTGATGACACCTGTGTATGTACTCGTTTTTCTCCAGGTGGAGTCAGTTGCCTGGGGAAATGTCTGTGGGCTCTAATTAAGCATTTGGTCTTGATTGTGTTTAAAATATTTTCTTAGGGACTAGACTTGAAGTCTGCAGGAATCTAGCTGCCCGAGTGCAGACTGTGTACAAGTTACGGTCTGTGAGCAGCTCCAGGACTAAGCACGGAGCCTTGGAAGACCGTCTTTAGTTACCCAGAGTCTGCTGGGGTTGCAGCTTCTGGGGCCCCATTTGCAGGTCAGGGTTTGCTCCAGTTCGGCAGCAGCGTGTGGTGTCTCCCCAGGGTGAGGTCCTGCCAGCTTGTGAGAGCCCCGGTGGGCCGTGCTGTGGTTAGTGAGGGTCCTGTCGGCACTGCGGGTGGAGCTTCTCTCCGAGGCGGTGACGCGGGGAGCAGATGCACTGAAAGGGGCAGAGCTTTGTTCTGGCTCGGGAGCCTCAGTCTCGTCCGAGGTCAGCTGCTCCGAGGCCGCGAGGCACAGTGGGGGAAACGCGGCTCCTGTCACGGTGGCCGGGGAGCTGGGGGCTCTGCCATGCCAGGTTAGGCTCAGGGGCCCGCTGTGACCAGCCGCGGCTCCAGACAGCACCATGCTGCTGCTGCGGTCGTCCGCACATCAGTCCACCCGCAGGCACAGCGCCCTGTGATGCAGGCGCCTTCCAGAAGGCCGACTCTGAGCCGGGAGGCTTGAGGTGCTTTCCAGATCTGAACCACAAGGGGGCTGGTCCTGACTGCCCTCGCGCCTGGGATTGCCGCCTCATGGTGACAGGGTTGAAGGCCCGTCCTCCTGACCTGTCCTTCCACTGTAAATACAGCATCCCTCACCAGATACCAGATGCTGACACCTGGTTATGGACTTGGCCCAGTCCAGAAGTAAAGCAAATGCATTTCTATTGTTCATAAATCATCGAGTCTTCAGTAAGTGGACTAAGGCAGATACTTTCCAGTTATGTCATAACACTTAGGCTTAATTAATTTAATTTAATTCATTTATGTTTTTGGTTTTTTGAGATCTTTTTGATCTCACTGTGCAGTCCAGGCTGGCCTGGAACTCGCTATATAGTAGCCTAGGTTGATCTCAAAAGCAGCAGCCATCCTCCTGCCTCAGCCTCCAGAGTGTTGGTATTACAGCCATCCACCCCCAGGCCCAACTAATCAGTGGACTTTAAGTTAAGGATATTATTATGGATTAAATGAGTTGACCCACTATAATCACAAAGATTCTTAAAAATAGGGCAGGACCGCAGAGCTTGGCCCCCTTGTCTTCCCAGCGTGGCTACACTGAATAACCCCTTTGCTACTCCACCGTCCCTGTGCTGTTTGTTTGGCTTTTGGGGTAGGTGGCCAGATCTGGTCCAATGAGGCCACACTGCGTGGGGTGTGTGCGCTAGAGGAGTTCCTGTGTTTTACACCACTGTGTTGGGCTGGGGATGTAGCTCCATGGTAGAGCATGTGTCTAGAATATACATTTATTTACAATGCCCTGGGTCAGTCCCCAGCTTTATAAATAGATTAAAACCTACTAAATGTGTGTTAATTTATTAATACAACTGTAGAAGACTGCCCGTCGGTTGGGCATAGATTGTGTGGTGGTATCATGTCTTCAGATGTCTTGCGATTTTGCACTGATGAAGTGTCTGGGCAAACGCCACCTACATGCTCAAACCAGGGGTGGACGGTCCACCTTGGACCGAGCCGTGGCATGTTCCTGACACCCGGACAGTCACTGCCAAAGAACAGAAGCTAGTCACAGCTACGGGGTCAGTGAATAAATTGGTTTTAATTACAACTACACCCAGGATTGCTGCTGGTTGTGCATGACTGATTGTGGTCCTCGTGTTTTACGTAATAAAAATGGGGTGCTTGGCTAGAGAGAGAGCTTAGGATGGTGGTTCTCCAGCTTTCGTGTTCACCGGAGCCATCGGGAAGGCTTGCTAAGCAGACTGTGGGCCTCACTCCTACAACTTGCGCTGTGGCAGACTTGGGTGGAGCCTGGAAACCTGCATTTATGGTAGCAGCTTCCCCCAGGCAGCTAGCACTGCAGTCCTAGTCTCCACAGGCTCAGCTGATTGGGTTAGTTTGCCTGTAGTTCACTCCTCCTCTCGACCCGCAGTCTTCCGGCGTCAGACAGCGTTCATTTAGTACCTGCCATTTTAAAAGAGGAGTAATAAAGTCAAACAGTGAAACAGTCATGAAAATGAAATGGGAAGTGTAGTGATTGTATGGTTCCCGAGTCCCTTCTGAGGCGGCTGCTTGCCTGGCACTGGGAAATTGTGTAGTCCTCCCAGCCCTCTGTAAATACACAGCTCCCGCAGAAATAGCCGTGTACCCGTTCCGTGTCGTGATTTGTGATTTTTGTTTATCTTCTTCACTTCGTGCCATAGTAGTAGTGTATGGATTTAGACAAAAGCCATCCAGCAGGCTGGATAACGTGAGGGAGTCCAGGGACACGTAATCCTTCGCTTGTCTGTTGGGAGAGCTGGGCTGCTCAGATTGTCTGATACGCTCCAGAACTTCTCCTACTTACGGCTCCGAGGCTCTGAAACTCACCGCAGCACATTGGATGTGAAGAGTCTGTCCCTGTGCTCCTTGACTGCGTGGTGCTCACGTGTCATCTAGGACATACTGTTGACTTGGCCTTTCCAGTCAGAGCAATTTGCGACTCCTTGGGTTTTTTTGGTACTGATGCCCACCTTCCAGACCAACTAAGGCCAAGTGACGGGCACTGCGGTAATGGCCCGGCAGAGCAGTGTCCGCTGCTTGCAAAGGAACAGGTGGACATCCTGAAGGTTTCCGGGTTAGTGCCACTCATTCAGCTAGCTCACCTTCTACGCCCTTCTCACTCTCCGTGAGACCGGAGAATTTCTTCAGCAGTTCCTGTCTTCCTGCTATGTGACTGTCTTCTTACTGGGCTATGTTTCTGTCAGCCACTGGCACAGTTAGCGAGATTGTCTCCCTGGAAACTTTCAGGATCTTCTCTCTTGCCATTATTCTAAAATTACAGGATACTACACAGTGGAACCTCGGTTCATGAACTTAATTTATTCTGTGATTTGGGGCATGTTTGTGTTTGTGTGGAAAGGTGGCCGCAGCCGCGTTGGTCACTCCGTGCAGAGTTTGCAAACAAAAACAAAATTTTGCCAAATGCTCCTGTGTGCAAACCAAATTGTTTGCAAATGAAAGCATTCATGAACTGCGGTACCACTGTACTTCGGTGTGGTTCTACTTTCATTCATTGTATTTGCCATTTAGTGGGCCTTTTCAATTTGAGATTTCTAAATTACTATACAGGTTTTTAAATTAAAAAGTCAATAAATGGAAATGATTTGTAAAAATCCTCTGTGCAAATATGTAATGATAAATCAGTTTATCTTTCACACCACTTCCCATCCCAGAGCCAGCAGTCTCCCTTTGCAGTTTTGCTTCATCCTGATGGTTAAAGTATCCCTGGAAATGGAGAGTGTCTTGCTGGGCTTGGTTGGCCTCTCTGCATATACAATTTTGGCAGTGTTTTATATATTTTAACTAAATGGCTAGGGAACTTCTAAATACCAAACCATTCTCTTGATACCTTTTATTTCTTTGATATTCTAGCATTTGTCTTATGCTACTTTTATGAATAAAGTATTCATAGTGTATTTGCATGGGAAATAATTGTTATATCTTTTTTCAAAGTGGATATTTTTATAAACTCATAATCGTATATATATTTAAATCATTCTTAATGAAAGATTGATGAACTCAATGGAAGAGGAATATACTTACTCATATTTAACAAATATCCTTGAATGCCTTTTGGGCTAAAGCAAAATCATTGATACCTCTTTGTTTTCTCCTGGGGTGTCTTGTGCTCTTATGCATGGATTCTAGAATTGTTTCATCTTTTCTACATTGTTGAAAATGTATACTTTAACTTCGCTTCTCTTTAGATTGTTCAAATCTTTTTTCCTCCAGAATCCACAGTCCTTTTTTTTTAAGTGTGTGTGTGTATGTGTGTGTGTTTTATATATATATACATACATATATGTATGTATATGTACACTATATGATGGCAGTGTTAAAGAGGTGCTGGAGTTTAGTAAGATGGTATATAGTATAAGAATGTGTGAATATGTTTGCATGTTAGGAAAATACCTGTTTCAGTTGAAGTCTTGCATATGCTTGAACAAAATCTTAATGACTATAATATCCAAAAGCTTGATTATGCATATTGCCAGATTTTTAAGTGGGTGAGGATAGCTAGCTTTATTATATCCTAAACTGAAAAGGTAGGCATATTCTGTGGTAGACAGTTGAGGGAAGTAGTATTTTTCCTTTGTTTACAAATTCCTTTAAGGGACCATATTACTTTGCTTAAGAAGAAGGATTGCTTATCGTCATTTCTTAGTATAGTGTAAAAATTGTGGCTGATAAATTTCTTTACAGGTTTTGAAGCCATACTGTAGAACTTTATTTTTTATTATGTTTCTGAATGATATTCAAATTACTGGGAGTAAAGTATATGTTTAAATGCATTCTTACCATTAATGTCCAGAAATCATGTATGCTGTGTTTCTATAATATTGAGAATTGTAAGTGAATAAATAGTGGTTTCATATAACTTTCTTTTGCCAGATGATGGACCTAGGCAAAGTGACAGTTTTCCTGAGACCACAGCCATGACACTACCGAGCGAGTCCAGGGTCAATGTACACGCCATCGTCACACTAAAAATACTGGACTATAGGTATGGAATTCACTTTACTGAACACTACAAAACACACTGAAAATTTTGAGAAAAAAAATCCTTCAGAAAAGTATGATTAGTAAGGAAATATATCAGAGTACCTAACTTAGAATAATACTAATTGCAAAAACATCGATGAAATAAAAGTATACTGACTTTAAATGCCCATTTGTCATCTGATTTATTATGCCTAAGATATTGATGATTGCATAATGCAAAGATTGTATTATAAAAAATGAAAGAGTGACCATATTGCTAATAAAGTTCTCTGATTCAGTAATCAGCACTGAGAGAGAATTTTATATGAAGGTGAGTTGTTAGTAAATAAGAGACAATTGTCATTTAGGTAATGAAGTACTTGACTAAGTAATAAATAAATAACTTATCACACTTATAATGTTTTCTGGTAGCACATGCATTAACACAGAAGCAGTTAAACCCTCAGTGTATGGATTTAGACAAAAGCCTACAATTTTTGTAACTTAGAGAAGTTATTAAATTGGGGAAAGAAGATACTTATGCAAGGACTGAAGGTACTGTAAAGTATTTTTTCAGTTTGGAAGCAACAATAATAAAAATCAGCAGCACTGTCAAAGCTTTTGGGGATTGCTTCATGTACGGTTATTGAAGTGAAAATAGAAATGAATACAGATTCAAGCCAGGCATGGTAGTGCACGCCGGGTACCTCAGCACTTTGGGAGGCTGAGGCGGAAGAGTTGTAAGTTTGAGCCCAGCCTCTGCAGCTTCGTGATTTAGTGAGATGCTGCCCCAAAATGAAGATATGGAAGAAAAGGAAAGAAAAGCATAGAACAGAACAGAACAGAAGGCTCAAGTCAGACAGGTGACGAGTCACACAGGAGTCCACACAGCTGTCGTCGGTATCTGACCTCGCACCGTGGATGTCTCAGTAGGAATTATTGCAGCAGTCAGGTTCCAGAATCCATTTCAGATGTTTTGTTTTTCATTCACATGGTTCTCACCTCTTGCTCAGATGTAGAATCACTATAAGCTGACTGCTTTTTGCCACCCTGATAAAGATACATCTTAGGTTGCTTGAATTCTCACTATACTGCACTTGTTCTCTCAGAAAATGCAAAGGAGCATCTTATTTCGATTATAAGCTGATTTTCAACCTCAAGAGTTTTAAGTGATGTTTTGTGTTAGGCATTAATCATTATTTTAAAAAAGAATGTAAGGATAATGGCTAATTATAATATCAACAAATTGATACATTTTCAAATTGTTAGGGTTTTATATTTTTACTTAATACTTTTTGAAATCTTACTGAAAATGTTAAAAAAAAAAATATATATATATATATATTTACATTTGCAAAAGATGTGACATAAATAATACTGGTAAGCTCTTCAGGTTCTTATTTCAAAGTACTGAGGATTAGAGAAGTTAAATTCCAGAGCTCCTTAATGGTAGTCCTAGGAGTAGCTTGGTCTCAGTCCACTACTCCATCTTTGTCACATACTAAAGGAGAGGGACATTTGTCTATGTGACTAACCTAAAACTAATTTAGTGTACCGATAAGTTATTTGTGTGTTTGTTTGGAATCAAACTCAGGACCTAGCACTTGCCAGGCAGGCGCTGTGCCGCTGATGAGCTTTTTAAAGTATTTGTTATCTTGCAGTATCCAAAAAAAGATGGCAGATGACCCTTCTTTGAGTTTTTAAGAAAAAGGATGACAAATAGCTTTTGAAATTAAAAATTTAGGTCCAGTCAGAGATAGAGAAATATTCTATTTAGTTATATTATGTCTTCTAGTTTTCCTACACTCTGAAAGTATCTTGGTTTTTCTTCGCACTGAGTGTGTGAATACTGAGAGTATGGCATGGTATTATGATATAGAATGTTGTCTGGGATACATTTTACTGTCATTCTTTATGGAACATCACAATCAACCACCTTGAAAATTGTTATAAAACCTTTGGCCTTTAAAACTAAAAACTAACCCTACCTTTGTGGATTGCTAAGAGTATTTCATTTTAAAATCATTTTTCATTTAGTGATAAGCAAGCAGCTTTGATTCCTGACGAAGTATTTGATGCAGTAAAAGGCAATGTCGTCACTTCTGTTAACTTCAGTAAGAATCAGCTACAGGAAATTCCAAAAAGGTAGGAAGTATGCGTGATGCAAGTTTTATTTAGGTGTGACTCACTCTCAGTTGTAGCTGTATTGTAGTTCCAAGAAAAATTAGTTTTTATGGTTCTTTAATTTGAAGGTACATGTTAAATTTCTGGATTCTTAATATTAGAAGAATATAACAAAATGTTGAGATAGTTTCTCATATCCTGAGAGGTATACAGGAGTCTTAAAACTTTTTTACATTGTAAACTTGGAGAGTAGGTATTGGAGTTATTAAAAATACTAAGTTATTTTTCCTGTCTAGTGAAATGTTGGAGAGAAGTTGTTAAGAGGCAACCCAATCACAGTTCCGTATATATTAATAGAAATTTTCATTTCAGGCCTTATGTTAATGAATTGCCAAGCCACTGAATTTTCCCACTGATAGTAAACATGACTGTACCCTGTTAATACGTTGTTTTCTAAAAAATTTCCTGTAATAGTAAGTCATTTGGATTATATTTTGTACCGTTTAATACATCTTTGTAGATGTTAATCAACAAAGTCTGTGGGTTATGAAAGAAAATTAGTTTGGTATACGGTTGAACTTTTAAGAATGTTTGGTATCTAGCAGAAACATGTATAGTATATCCAGACAAGGTTAGCAGGTAACCTAGCAGTTACTACAACTCTCTGTGAGGCACAAGAACTTAGGCATGGAGTCAGCGGCTTGTACTGTTTCCCAGATGTACTACGGTGCAGCTTTGGGTGGGTAACTAGCAGCTCGTGGATTCCTCACTTGTAATGTAAGGTTAGCAGCAGTGCTGTTTATATGTTAAGTGGCACGGTCCATACGTAGCATCTGACCAGGCCCAGTACCCAGTAGGCACTGAAGTAGTTAAAAGAAGGTGGGGGAGATGAGGAAGAGGATATAATGGGAACAAAGAATGACTTTCAGCTGTCTGTCAAAAAAAGTTTAATGTTAAAAATTTTTTAAGTCATGCAAACTGAAATACATTCTATCTATAGAGGATAGTTTGAGGAGTACAGGTCTTGAAAGATGGTAACTTTAAGAGCAACAGTTGCAAAGAGGGAGCCAGCCCAGCTTCGGTTGTCTCCTGTTCCTGGGGCTGAGAGGATATTTTACAGATTCGCTCTCAGGGTAGGGCAGGCTTGCTTTGGGGGAATGGATCACACAAGCTAAATGAAAATAATGTGGAGTGATTTAAGAGATACCACTTGATCGTATACTTTCTCATTTCACATTCCCTGCTTCTTATCCAAAGCAAAGTTATCTCGTTACCATGGCTATTGTATCACTTTTTTTTTCGGAATTTAAAAGGCCAACGAGAAAGGGTAGTAAAGTCAGACCTTGCTTTAGAGTGTGCAAACCATTTCCCCTGTTGTTTACATATTTTAATACACAATTTATACTTTTCACAGTAGTTTTCTTTACAAAAGTAATATGTAGTCATAAAGTTTTGGATCAAGTGAAGCACCATATCACTGAGCTACTGTTCTTAGTGACATTGTATTTCAAGCTATTCCTGACTTGAAGTTGTATCATACTTAACATTTATTATATCTTGACTGCTTTATTTGCCATAAATATTTACCTATGTAGAAAACTATCTAATTTAACTGCATACAGTAAGGTTGTTTATAGTATTAAATAAAATGTTGGTTCTTCAGACCAAATTTCCAAAATAACCAAAATAAAATGTTGGTTCTTTGGACCAAATTCACAAAAATTATGAAGTCAAACAGCATGATTCTTGAGGGATACAGCCAATAACTTTTCCATTACGCTTTATCAGTTATGCCTTCAAACTCATTTTCTCCCTCACCGCATCTTCTGCCCAACATTTGGTCGTCTTTCACTGTTTTTTCTTTGCTAATGTGATAGACTAAAAGTGATTTGTTATACTTTAACTTTTTCTGATAAATCGTAGTAATAGCATAACCAAAACTGCTAAGCTTGATTAGGCATACTTAGGAATGCTTAATTGTTCTCCTTTAAGTCTTTAGCCTAAGCTGTTTAGTTGTAATGCTTGCCAAACCTGGGAACTATGATTGCTACATAGTTATGATTATGATTAAATATAATTTGCTTAAATATAGTTTAAATATATGAAAAAAGTTGACATTTTTGAAGTACCTACACATAGCATTATATTATGTAATCTAAAGGTGTTATCAATAGGGATGTAAAATTTTGATTTATGGATTCAAATTACTAATAAATAAAGTATAGAAATTATCTGGCTCTTATTTCTCCTTTTTCGACCCTGGGTTTAAATACAGAATAAATGGGCTTTGAACTTAAGCTTCAATATGTGCTTGAGGTCAAATGGAAACTCTTGGATAATAGCAATTGTATAGATAATACGCTATGTTTTAAAAGATTTTTTATTTTTATTAGTTACACACCCAAGGACAGTTTTTGTGAAAACTAAAAGATACAAAATATCATAACTGGCAGAAATAATCTGGGATTTTTTCCCTGATGATCTATTTGTATACTCAGAGCTTCGAAGTTCAGGCAGTGCATTTAGTGCTCACATTTTAAAGTATTTTTGTTTCAGAATTGTGGAGCTGAAGGAGATGGTCTCTGACGTCAATCTCAGTTTTAATAAGCTCTCGCTTGTGTCCTTGGAGTTATGCATGCTTCAGAAATTGACTTTTGTAGATCTCAGGTATTTATTGTTAATGTTGGTTGGCTTCTTAAAAATTGTCCTTTGCCTTGTCTTTAATGTCACCTAAGTTGCCCTGTTGGTCATGTTTTCATAGGTAGTGTGGACACTGGCCTTTCCCTAATTAACAATATCTGAGGGAAAACCTAAAATTAAGTATTTACGAGTTATTTTAATAAGACATTTGGCATTTGTAAGGATTTTATAAGTTAAGTGAGAAGACAAAGTTATTTAAAATAGTAACATTTTCTTCAAATTTAGGCCTAGGCAAAATCACAACACATGAGAAATACTGCCTGCATATTGTTT